GTTTCAAGTTTGATTTCAACCCTGTTTGTTTCCTCTGAGCTACACAATAAGTAGATTCAGTTCTACTCAATTCTATTTTATTCATATAGTGCTAAATCCCAACAACAGTTGGCTCAAGACACTTTTATGTATATATGCTATATATAAAAAGCTATTATAAAGGTAATAGATAGCACTGTCCTCATTTGTGCCATGCATTGCTTATTTAAATTTCTGTACTACTTGGAAAAGAAGAAAACTTTTCTCTCCTCCTTTTGTGTTTCTCTCTCTCTCACACACACACACACGTTTTCTTAGTTCTCTCCGGGTTTGCATTTAAGCATGCGATTAAAGTACACATGAAACACTTATAAGCTAATTTACATCATGGAGCCTTGTAACACTGTCTGCGTAAATGCATTTAAGAAATAAGTCCTTAAACTTGAAGTTTTTAGAACATGTTCGGCACCATCTTCTGTCAGTGCAGAATGTAACGTCACCATGTTCGTTGGTCGGCTGTGGTCAATAGGTCTACATTTGTTTATGATAGCTAATAGCAGAACCAATAACTCAGGGGAAAATAAGAGAGTGAAAGTAGACACTACATCCTTGTTTTTTGACAGAAAAACTGTTATGTCTTAAATCCAGGTTCACAGACAGAATTGCATCCATGTCAGTTTTTGAGGGCAGGGCTCAATGGCGTAAATTAGCCTTTATACATGTAGTGTTTTAAGTCCACTTTGAATCATCTGTCATAATTCAGATTTAGAAGTTCTTGGTTTTGTGATTCAGAATGAAACTCTTTTTCTGTCTGACTTAGTTTTAAGGGCTATGTTATGGAACGGCTGTGTGCAGGCAGGAGAAGGACCCAAGGTGCAGACTCCGGAGACAGATGTGAACTCAAAACAGCTTTAATGTTAAACTCAAACAGAACACAACTGGAAAAAATCAAAATAAACTTACACCGGAGGACTGACAGACACACACAGCTAGGTAAACGGTAGATCGCAACACAGACACAAAGAAACACAGGGCTCAAATACACAGAGGGAGCAATCAGGGAATGTGTAACAGGAGGGAAACACAGATGGGGCAAATCAGGCCTAACGAGACAAGGGGAAGCAAAACCAGACTCATTAACATCAGACATGGACTTTCAAAGTAAAACAGGAAACCCATAACACAGACTGAACAAAAGACACAGACTCACATGCAGGCACTACAACAGAGGGAACAGAGACGTGGGACCAGGGCAGACACAGACACTGACTGGACACGG